CATTATAGTGCAGTTTTTCTCAGTTTTTTTTCAGTTATAGATAAGTATGCCTTATAACCAGTGATGTAAGATTTGATGCAATACTGTAAAAAATACTTTATCATATTGTTGAGATAATGAGATAACCTATTTAAAGCACTTAATATAGTACCTACAAAACTAACAGTTCATAAATGCTGGTTACTATATATCCATCCATCTAGTCAACAACTATAAATGAACACCTATTATTTGGTACCAATCCAGTGCTAAGGATAAAGGGGTTAAAAAAAACAAAACAAAACAAGGTCCCTGCTCTTACAGAGCCTACATTTTATCATTATTATCAGCATTACTACCACTGCTGCTGCTACTTCTAATTGTTTCCACAGACTAAAATCTTAAATGAAATTCTTAAAACTCTTAATGTATAATACATGTAATGTACCAAAAAGATGTGCAAGTTTGGATTCCCTAAGAACAGAATAAAAGAAACCCTCTGTAATAATCCAACAATAAATGTATCTTCACCAGAGATGCAGCAATTCCTTTATGGGTGCTCCAGACGGGAGAAACTAAAAGGGCAACTGTCAGATCTGTGACAAATATGCAACCTGGTCCTCTGCAGGACGAGTGGGGACTCAGGGCCATCACAGGACATAAATGCCCTCTGGGTGGTGGGAAGAGGCTGTTCCTCAATGTGTCTCTTGATTCTGTTTCTTTAACTACCCTGACTGCCTTTTCCTTTTTCTCTTCCTCTACTTCTCTTCTACTTTGTCTGTTCCCTACATTAAATACAACAAATGGAGAAGTTAGGGGCTTAGGAGGCAAACTACATTTTACCACTGGATGAGGATTATTCAAGCTACAAGCTTTACACTGGAATTTCAAAAATTATATCTAAGCTTAAATAGTCGGAAGCTTCCTGATGTCACTCCAGCATCAGCCTGAGTTTAAAATTATTTCCTACAGTTCCCAACTCTTTTGGGGGGGGGGTAAGTAGGGCAGGGGGATCAAAGCAGGTGCGTCCAGCTCATATACAGAAACACAAGGGCTAACTGAGTGAAACTAGCCCATTATATCCACTCTTGCCTCTTTTCTTCTCCAATTCCAAGTTCTCAGCCCACTTACCAGAACCTTTCAACAAAGAGAGTCCTAGGAAGGGCATACAGAGAAGTGAGATAAAGGAAGGGAAGAAGGCACTCCACGGGATGGGGCTGGTGGAAGAAGGAGACAGAAGGAAACGCAGGCGGCAGCCCTACAATTATGTACTGAGATGGGTTTCCCTGACCAACTAGTAAACTGGCGTGGAGGACAACTGCCAAAGAATTCCCACTGCGTCCTAAGGAATGAGTACCTGCATTGTCTCCCACAAGGACTCCTTTGAAAATACTCACTTGGAATGTTTTACGAAAATTACTGCCACTATGTTTTTATATTGATATATAATTATTTTGTTTGTTTCTTCACTTTATGGTCTCACCATATCCTCAATTCTTTATCAGGGCTGATAAAGGAAAAAAAACTGCATTGGCAGAAATTCCCAAATGCAAGACAATATCAAGATTTGTGGCCAAGATAGACAGTTTTCACAACTAAATTCAGCTCAATTTGAACTTACAAAATATTATGAAGCAACATACAGTCTTTAAAGATTTAAAAAATTCAATGCAACAAAGGAAGGCTCATTCATTTTGCCACATTAACTTCTTCCAAGAACCTCTGTTGGGTTACATGAAGTCTTTTGCACTTATTGATGGGATAGGCTGGTTTTCCCTCTTTTAGCTACTGATGGGATTTATTCTGTTTCTGAACATTAAGCTATCTTCGTGTTACCGGCAGAAATTCTACTCGGTAATGAGAGAATATTCACAAAGAGCACATCTACCTCCCACAGTACCTGGTGGTAAGGCAGAGATGCTACTGTCCAGGAGACGGCAACGTATGACAGAAGGCAGTTCACGACCAACAAAATGGCTTCAACTGCCATCCCTGCTCATCACGGGGGGTTTTCACTAAAAAATCGAAACAGCCACAGAAAAAACCAGGGCTCTAAGCATTCCTCAAAATGCCGTAAAAGTCCATTCAAGGAAATTCTTTTAAAATTCAATGATCATGTTGAAGGTCATCTATCATAGTGAAAATAAACAGAAATTACAATCAACAGTATCACAGTACACCTGTACAGTACAGATTTCAAGCTTCTTCCACACATATTTTCACAAAAACTCTAAAGCAACAAGGCCCTCCTCCCTGCTCTTTTCTTAAACAAAGACAAATTACAGGTTCAGTGCCTTTTTATACCAACTTTCTATTTTGAAGACTTTCAAACCTACAGAAAAGATGAGAAGTAATATAATGAGCACCTGTACGCCCTCACCTGGACTTAACATTTTCCTGCATTTGGTTACCACGTTTCTCTTTCTCACCACACACACATACACACTTTCAATAGCGAATCCTGAATCAAGTTCAGTGATTTTTTTTAAAGTAACTTGCCCAACGGTATGTGACTTAGTAAGCATTCTTAGTAAGGATTCTACCGTAGTAGAGGGTTGGGCCACACAGTATAGAAACAACAATAACAATATAAAAAACAGATAAACAACAAGGTCCTACTGCATAGCACAGGGAACTACATTCAACATCTTACAATAACAGATAACAAAAAAGAATATGAAAAGGAATACATATATATATGTGTGTAACTGAATCACTAGGCTGCACACCAGAAACTAACACAACATTGGAAACTGACTATACTTCAAATTAAAAAAAAAAGAAAAAAGAAACGGTAATAACAGAAACAATAATACCACATATATGTAATTACATTTTAACAGAAAGCAGTCCCATGGTCCCCTGAGGATTGATGAGGGGAGCGAGGGACCACAAAGGAGCACAAGCAAAATTTTGGGGATGACAGATATGTTGATATCTTGACTGTGATAATGGTTTCACAGGTTCATACATGTGTCAAAACATTAAATTGTATAATTCAAGCTTGTGCAGTTTATTATATGTCAATTATATTTCAATCAACCTCTTTAAAAAAAAAAGTAAATCCGACCAAAGAACTATCTGCCTAACAGGCATTTATCTCCAGATCACAGGACTCTTAAAGTCCTTCTAGTCCAAAATCTCCACAATTCAACCAGCATGTAAGGGGTTACCCAAAGTACAGTCTGTCATACCAGCTCTAAAGAAGAGAGTGGAAAATATGAACAAAGCATCAATAAGGATTTCATAATGTCACTTTTAAAAAGTGAACAATTAACAGAGAAAAAAATATTTAGGGAGAATACACAATGTCTCAGATATAAGTTTCATTAATAAAAAACTAATTCTGTACATCTCTCTGGTAGATCAAAAAAATCTTAACTATGATTAGAGAACCTGATTACTAGAAACAGTATCATATTTATCTCAGATGTCCCCTGTTAATGTTAATGTTTAGAAGGAGAATAAATGATATTTATGGTTCAAGAATAGTTACTTTTTCTTCCCAATGACTGCAAGCTTGAGAGCATAATTTCAGATTTTTCTAGCCCAAATTCAGTGAAAGTAGGGGCTACTGTCTGCACTGTAATATCTAATTAAATACATCAAGAATAGAAAGATTTGAATAAAAGCCCACACCAAAAACATCCTGTTCTCTGCCAGTGAAAGGTGGGAGGAAAGATCCAGAAAGCAGTGTGGAAATGCAGTCCACGCTTGTACTGACAACTTCTACTGCCCCCTTCATCCTATCCAGTTGGGAACCTCAGCAGAAAGAAATGTGGGGTGTGGCTCAGAAGATTTGGAAATGCTCTGCTGTTAGCCATTTCTGCCTAGCACAGGGCTTTACCAGAAAATCCCCAAAATGTTTGTTGAATTGAATAGAAAACAAGCAAGTCTGTGAAGGAATCTGGTCAGGAGATCTGGATTCTAAGCCTGTGGTGACTAGACATTAAGCTGTATGACACGATTTCCATTTCCTCAACTGCAAAATGAAAAGTAGTACGTACACACACACACACACACATTCTATCTGTTAGGTGAAGTGTAAAGGACAGGAAATTTGCAGAATGGGAGTGTTCTGTATTCAGGCCAACTTACCAATAACTCTATGCAAGAAGCTTTCAATGAGGAATCTTTGTCTCCCAGAAACTATCAGATGTTTGAAATTCAGAGATTAGAGTTCTTTGGTCTCCACTTAAAAGGGAGCATTAAAAACAAAGAAAAGAAAGTAGTTCCCACCTTTGAAGAAGTGACATTGCAATTGGTGAGACAACTAAGACCCAATGAAGCAGAACCACCAAGTGCCATGGGTTTGGTGCCATGAGAGCGTTAAGTTCAAGGGTAATGGCAGCACTCAGGAGGAAACCCCACTGCAAGCACACTAGTCCAAGCTGGAGGAATCTGTCATGTGTACAGAAAACCATGAGGATTTTCATAGAGAAAGCACCACTGGGACAAGCATAATCCAAGAGGCAGGATTTTAAGTGAGTTTAACCTAAGTTTCTCAACACTCTCAGCAATTATAATCAGTAACTACAGCAAATCACACTTCAAAGACGGTCTAAGCCAATCTTAGTAGAATCTTTTACAGAACAGAAACACAAAAAACTCCAAGATTGTTTTATGTTAAATGACTACAAATGGTATTTTTGCATGATTCTAAGACTAACAGAAATCTTTTACTTTTCTAAAACTGTATTTCAATTTTATTTATTGATTTTGGTGTTTGCTTTGGTTAAAAAAAATGCTAGTTATGATATATTACCTGTATGCTTGCCCTAGTATATTTTAATGGAAAAATTTTCTTAATCCTACACACAGGCAAAATGGAAAATAGTGTTGTAAGTACATAAAGATTAAATATTAACATTTTAACCAAGGTCACTAGAACATTTCTGGCTTGTTCTCTACTGAAAGCAGAGCATTTTTAAAAAAAAGAAAAAAAAAAGTGTGTGTGTGTCTGTGTGTAGGAGGGATGGGGGTGGGACAGTTTCTTCCAGACTTCCTACTGAGGTACTTACAGTGCTGATCACAATCAACTCTGGCAAACACTACTTGATTTTCATTTGGATATTCTTCCTTAATGACATTAGAAGCTTCCTCAAAAATTGGGTGCAACATCTGGCTGAAACGACACCTATACACAGAGAAGAATACAAATTAAAACCGAAAGGCAGAAGCAATAAAATTTTATTTCAGTTATCATCCATTCACATTTAGTATATGTATAGTAAACAGCTTTTGACACAATCACATTGTTAATTTAGGGATCCTGGTGTCATTCATTGGAAGTGAAGACAAATTTGAATTCAAATACTACTTCAATTCAAAGACTGCACAAATCATTAAAAGATTTTGGTTTTTTCTACCTGAAGAAAATGGCCAATATTATGGAGCACAAAGCTAAAGATCTCTCACAGAGGCAATGAAACAAGTTGGAAATAAGCCCTCTAAGATTTATCTACTTGGGTCTGTAACTACTGAGACTCAGACATTTATAAAAGCAATTAGCTTTTATAAGTAATGAACATATTTTTAGACGACTACAAAATCTTTAAAATGGTAAGTTTATTGCAAATATTAGACCGACTGACCTGCCAAGTTCAATCAAATCTCATAGGCAAGTAAGCATGTTAAATAAATAAGTTGTATGAAAATGATATATAGAATATAGTGAACTGATTCCCCTCAAAATTCACCTCTGGTTAAAATGGGCTTTTGTATCTATAAACTATTAAATAGACTAAGCTCAGGAGCAAAATTTTTAAATTTCTAAAAGAGACTTCCTGTCCAGTTTCCTATGTCTGTTATTTTTGTTTTGTTTTCACTTTTTAAAAGGGGCACAAACCCCACAATATTCCAGAAACTTGATACTTCTAATTCTGGCTGCACCTTAATCAGGCCAACCACTTCACGAACATATTCTGCGGGTCATTAAAGGGAACTGATAGAATCAGAGGAGAATCAGAATCAGCACACAAGCAGCTGGGCTAGAATGGTCATTCTCACATGAAAAAGACCATTTTGTTAACAACAACAACAAAAAGTATAATTGCTACTGCTGCTTCCAGAGCCCTTTTCCACCAAGAAATTTACTTAAATGAGGCCTGCGAACTTTTTAATCCACATGTGACTAGGTCACACATATTAACTGTAAGTCAACAAAAATATAAAGCCTGTGAGAGATACACATTTCTTTATACTTCCTATTTTTGTATATAACTCTCCTAGCCCACACACCTGACTTCCTAAGGAGATGCCCCAGAATATACCAAGAAGACACAACCTGCATCTTCAATCTCTTGCTTTCAAGTAGTTCTTTCCTCTTTTAGCATTCTGAAATCTCTCTCATCTGGGACAGGTAGGGGGAGTCTGCGGACATCAGGGACCATGTCTTATTTGACTACATATTCTAAAAAGCATTTCAGTAGATGTCTGTTAAATGAATAAACTGATAGAATGGAGGAAGTGGAGAAGTTAGGACTGCAGATTTGTGGGTTCTAACAGTCTGCTACAGAAAAGGTTCTGGAGGGCTAGGGAGGCAAGGGGTAGGGATTGATTAACGGTTTCTTGTAGAAGTAGGATATGGCCTAGTAAATAATCAGTGGACAGGCTCCTGGCTTGAGGGCAAAGATAAAGACATATGTTAAGGGCTCCCTTCTGGATTGTCCAGGTTGCTGCCCAGTAAGCACTGAAGCTCAGGCTCACGTTTAAAACAGAGTCAGTTTTAATACCAAAAGGTGAAAGAGGAAGATGATAGAAAAATTCAGTTGCTATATTACTGTACCTTCATACAAATGGAAAGTTACATTTATAAAGGTAACATAATGAAAGCAAATTTATCTATTAAAAGTGCCTTAAGATTCACGTGAATCCAATCTGCAATCTGGTGCTTGAATCAACCCTTCCTAAATCAACCAAATGGGTGAAAGTCTTTGCAGGAACAATTTAGGGGCATTCACTAGGATAACCTAGTAGGGAAAAAAAATAAAAGCTTGGGAGTTTAACATAGCTGAGTTTAAATCCCAGTTCCACCACTTACTAGCTATATGACCTTTCTTTTTCTTTGGGGGGGGGGGTTGTTGTTGTTTATATACATAAATTTTTTTTTATTAAGTTATAGTCAGTTTACAATGTTGTGTCAATTTCTGGTGTACTGTATGACCTTTCTGAACCTCAATTTCCTCAACTTAAAATGGAAAGAATAACACCTACCTACAGGGTAGTTCTGAGCATTAAAAACAATGTATGTAAAGAGCCTGGCACATGAGAGCATTATTAAGTTCCTATCAGGGTTTATTGTCCTCTGAAGTATATTTTTAGGCAGCTCTGTTAGAGAATTTATCCTTAAGTCATGCCATATCCATAACTTCGAAAGGCAACTCAGAATCTAGCCTTTGAGGCTACACAGTGTAACTCTATGTCCTACGGTCAGCTACCTAAGTTTTATTCAGTTGAACAAAAGAGTATTAATTCATGAACAACTCCAGGTATTCTTTGGGTAATATGCTTCCTAAGTAGCTGCAGTTAGTCCACATTTCCAATTCACTTTTTACAACAAGGTCGGTGGCATGTTCTATTTCTTTCTTATAGCACAGAAAATCCCGCCACCGAGATAATAGCATCCTAGTGTTAACTCTGCCACAATTTAGTCAGGTGGCCTCAGGAAAATACCTTATTCCTCTGGATCTCAGTTTTATTTTTAAAGACTAGAAAATCTTCTACCAAATAACATTATATCTGGACAATCCCAGCTTACCTTGGAAAATGCTCTTTTGTTATACGTTTTATAAATTGTATTTTCTCTGTATATCTCTAATAGTTTACTGAAGTTCTTCAAATATAAATACTATACATCATTCACCCAGGAAATATTATGTACTTATCTGCCAAGCATTATGCCAAGTGTTTGGGGATTCATGTTGAAAAAAGATAGATACGGTAACTTTTCACAAAGCTAATCATATAGTAGGGAGCCACAAACTAAACCATAGCATACAAGTGTTATGACTGGGTAAGTATGGGGTGTTTTCAGAAGATATAAAAAGGGATCCTAACCTGACTTGGGAGCAGGGGTAGGGGTACTGATTAGGAAGGCGACCTGGAGAAACTAGCATCTAATCTAAGACTTGAAAGACGATTAAGACTTAACCAGGTAAATAAACAGGTGAGAGAAGAGAGATCCATTCAGAGAAAACACCGTGAGTAAAGGTCCCGTGATAAAAGAGTATGGAATATTACAGAAACTGAAAGACATTCAGTACCCCAGAACAGAATATGGGAGTGGAGAGAGCTAAGTTACAGAGCTGCAGAGGTAGGAAGGGACCAGGTCATCAGGGGCCTCTTAGGCCAAGCTAAGGGACTTTCTAAAGGTATTAGAAAACCATTTAAGGGTTTTAAGATGCGGTGTCAACTAATTCAATCTGCACTTTAGAAAAGACTACTCCAGCTTACTTTGCAGAGAATAGAATGGAGACACATAGGTCTAGAGGCACAGGAAATAAATTAGAGACTGTCATAGGAATCTGGGTAAATTGCAGGACTATGGCCTGAAGTAGGGTAGTGGCAGCTAGTAGGTAGTAAGCCTCAAAGCGCCCCATTAGATACAGACCATCTAGGAAGAAGGATTATATGAGTGTTTCTAACTTCTCTCCAGCTGATGCTCCCTTCGTTCTATCCCCGCGCCACATTCCTGAACATCTGCTACATAGTATGTCCTTGTTTTAGATGCTGGGAATACTAAGTAAGACATTATCTCTGCCCTCAAAACTGTTTGCTGGGCACAAAGATGAAAGACAAAACAATGTAGTAAGAAAAGAATGCAGTACACAGAGACTGCATGCACACACAAGACAGAATCCAAGTCACACAGGGAAAAGAGTAAAGGCTTCCTACAAGTAGTAGTAGATGGTACATATTAAAAAAATCAACACTATTTTTCCTTCTAAACTTGCCATACCACATCCTCACCTCTAAACACTGCCCTACTTCCTCAGTTAAGACAAATACAGAATCCCAGTATGTACTCTTGTGAGAGACAGAGAGAAATCTGAGTTTTTATGTTACCTGCTTTTAAGATGTGGGATAATGGAATCAGGTATATTTCTCTCTTAAAACAAATGCTCACCAAATTAGTCTACTTCATTTGTGAATGAACCTTAATTGATTTTGGGTGTGGAATATTGCCTCACAAAAGAAAGAGGCTTCCCCATTCACCCCTTTTCTAGCAAAGAAAAAACACCTTTAGCAAGTTAAAAAAAAAAACCCTAATTGATGCACTCCCCCCTCATAAAAGTAAGATATTACTTACCAATCAGCATAAAAATTTACTAACGCAACATCAGCATTGTCTGAAATTAAAAAAACCAAACAACCTAAGTTATTTGTGTCTACAAAATTTTGACAAGACTAAAGATATGGTTTTCCATCATTAAAAGCCCACTAAATATACATAATAACAATGAAATTACTTCTCAGAAACCCATACATAGTCACAGATGGCGCTATACAATTTGTGGGAGTCCCTGTTCCATCTTAATATCTTCGCTGAGTGAATACAAAACAAAAGGACAGTCAACCCCAGATTAGGTAAGTAAGTTACAAAATAGCCTACTCTCTTAAAAAATTAAGTGGAATGATCCAGATTTTAATAATCCATTTTTGGACCTTCCATATTCATAAATAACTGAGAATTAGCTCTGCAAATAAAATCCAATTTCAGAGAATAGACCTGTATAACTAAGCTATTTCTAAAACTCAGATGTCCCATCTAGTTGCAACAAGTAACCTGTAACAGCATTGTGTAAGATGTACTTTTTCTGGTTCCTCCCCATTTAACAGTTACTCTCTGTTGCAAAAAATAACTTAGTATCATTTGCATATCCAGATGTGAAGACATGAAAAAAAAAATCTGTTCCTTTTGCCTAAACTTAACACAGAGAAACTTAAATAAACACCTCAGTACTCACACACACACACACACAAAACTCCCCCACACACAAAGATATTCCAGAATTTGAAAGATGAAAGGGGTGAGGATATGTAAGTTTCAATTCTCCTTTTCCTTTTTTACCTTCAAAGCACTTTTTATCCACTTGCTATTCACTCTAAAGCAGTGTGGTTCACAAAATGTGAGCCCTGGGACCAGAAGCGCCAGCATCACGCTGGAACTTATAGAAATGTTCATTCTTAGGTGGGGTCCAGCAGTTTCTGATCAGAAACTAGGGGGCAGGCTTAGCAGTACAAGTATTCTTAAGTCCTCCAGGTGATGCTGATGCATGCTAAAGTTTATAGCGCCATTTCTCTAAGGAGATCCCATAATGTAGGAATAGACTTCTTAGCATTTAAAACCATTTCCAAGAACACAAAACAATATATGATGGTCAATGAATACTTCTTTTACCTCTTTATTGTATTTAGCTTTCCTCAAACTAGTGGGTGAAATAGAGTGCTTTAAAAAGAGAGAGAAATCATTTATCCACACTGTATTTTCTTAAATCTCCTAACCACAGCTTTACCTTCCCTCTATTACTTTTGAAAACAAGAAATGTTTTCACCCAAGTTAACTGTATTTACAATTAAATTGTCAGCAAACAAACAAAACACTTATTGAACTTAATTGGACCAATGACAATAAAAAAGATCAAAGTAGGTGATTTAGTTAAAAGCTAAAAAAGACAAAAAAGTGGTAGGCTGTGTCGTAAGGTCATTAACATTTAGTACTGCACAGTGGAAACTGTTGGCCTCTAGGCAACTAAATACTCTAAGAATTGTTAAGAGTGGTATGTATGACAAGGCAAAGAAGTAAAACAGGACTGAAAGTTTACTTGTAACACAGGAAAGCAGACTTACATATTTTAAGAAATTTTACTAAAAATTAGTTAATTCAGTAAACCATGAATGCTGGTTCCTCAATTATTCTAGACAATTGAGATTGTATTGTTTTTGTATCTAAACTAACTCTTTATAGAGAAGAAAATATACTTTAAAAATATCATGGTACTTACTTAAAATGTCATCTATATTCTCTGTATCAAGACTTGTTATTTCAGTTGTTACAGGAGTAAAAACCCAAGTTACCTAGAAATTTAAAAAATTTGAAATTAATAAATGTTTTCATAAGAGGCAAATAATACTGAAAGTCTAAAAAGAAAAAGAAAATTTATGAATTAAGTTGGTTCCACTATTTACAAAATCATCCATCAATTGGTTTTAATCTTTATTATATATTCTAACACTTCACAAGATCAAGGAAATAGAAGTACAACTTCTCAAGCCTAGAAATTGGACCAATGGATTTCCTATGCTTCTAACTACATAAAAAAGACTGTTTCCAAACAATTTTTAAAATTGAAAACGTATTCACTCTTTAAATTAATACTTTCAACAACTATCTCTGGTGCCACAAGAAAAATTTTGCTAGATTATTGTCAGTTTTGAAAGAATATAAAACCAAAGCTAAATTTGCTGATTCTATCCCACCATGTCTCTAAGGCAAAATAATGAAAAGAATTTAAGAAACACCTTTCAAATTGTGAACCAAAAGCCCTTCTTGCCTGGTCTTCACCTTCTGGTGATACAATGTGTTATGTGAGAGGCTATTAAAAAGAGATTAAGAATGTTCTGTGTCCACTGTAATGTGTCAAAAACACAAAGTTCAAGTTTATCAAAGAAAATCTCAGCTTGTCATCTGCAAAACAAAGAAAAGGCATAATTGTAAACTAAACTAGCAACTGTTTACTTATTTTTAAAAGTCACATTTAGTATATTTTATTTTTAGGTTCCATCTTTAACATACTATGTGTTTTGATGCCTGGACAGTTTTTTGTTCAAACCAGTTTGTGTATGGAAATCCACTGCTCTTTAGTAAGTGACATCTAACATTAGGCCCTGATCCAGGTATTGAAGACCACTCTGCTTACCCATTTCATGGACACTTTGGCACTCACAATGGTTACAACTCAAAATTTTATAATTCACCAACAATTCAATTTCAGAACTGTATAAAGAGACATGCTGATGCAGACAGGTAAATAAGCCCAGCCTATTATTTGAAATATTTCTATAAATTCACTCTTTTCTTAGAAAAAGCCTGAGAATAATACCAGTCTTATTTCCAAGTTACCATAATACTGTAGCCAGTAGCTGACATTATTTCTGCTAGCAGCCAATAAATTATACTCTCCCAAAAGTAAGCTAGATAATTTGGAATCCCAGAATATTTTACTTATATAACTAATTTCATTATTTTCAACACCTCAAAAATTGACTGGAAAGATCAGACTTCCCTCACTAGTCATTGCTTAATATCCATATCTCAGTTAACAAATCCTTCCCACATCAGTGTGTGACCAGCTTTAGATAACTATGCAACCTGTTAAGAGATATACTGAAGCATATTAAAATGTTTAAAGGTTTATTTGAGAAGAAATCAATTGAATTACACAGCATTCAATCTAGCAGATAGAAAGGAGCTCCAAGAAGCTGTACAAAATGAAAGACTTTCATAGGCAAAGGGGAACAGGTACAAGGAAGTTATAGGAGGCAAAAAAAGTGGGTTGGTTATTGCAAAATTAATTTCCTTTAGAGGATGGCAGGGGTCTATTTGGCAGATGACCTAACAAGTGCTGATCAGGTGATTCCTCACTGACTGGTTTAGATTCCATTTCTGGAGACTTGAAACTGTAATTAAGTTAAACCTTGGTTAGGTGACTTGAGGCTTAGCATAAGCAACTCCATTTTGGGCCTGCTGTCTTGTTTTTAACAATTATATTGGTACAGCAAGATTTTAGAGCAGATTGTGTGCTAAAGAAAAATTCAAGGAGAGGACGCAAAAATATTATCATAAAGCAACAAAGCTGGTCATTATGAAAGTCAAGTCATTAAAATAAGGACAGTCATTTACAGTGTCTACTAGCTACTGAGGGCACAAATGCCTGAGACATGACATGCTCTATCTCAAGGAGCTCTCAAATGAGCGCCGGTGACAAGGAAGGGAGAACAATGTGGTAAGTACAGATATGATCCTGATCTTCAGCTGTATAATCCAAGGAACTCCATTTGTGAAGAGTTAGTTACTGCTTATCAAAATATGCTTACAGAGAAATATATTCTAAATTCAATTGCTTTTTACACACTAGGTAACGACTAAAATGAGGCAAGATCAATATGGTTGTATTAAACAGATAACTATCACATAAGAAACATCGTGCTAATAAACATGCAACTAGTAAGACAGATTCAGCTAACAGTTGGGTTTAAGAGGGCCCAAAGCAAGAAAGCTGTCTTGGACCCAGTATGTCTCCTTCCTGAAGCGTATAAAGAAGGCAATTCATCATTAATATTTCTATTAATACGCAGTATGAAGGGAAAGATAGGATGTTTATTTGAATTGTTAGTAAGCTCCATTAGTCTGACAAATTGTTTCTTTTCATGTCAGCCTTGGGCAGAAACAAGATTCTTCTGGGAAAACATCTTTATGTGTCAAATGCTATAGTGCTTAAGTGAAATAAAGATAAACAGCTCTAAACCAAGAAGGGAGGAGGGAAATCATTCATTTAATTTTTAAATTTAGACCTGAAGTAAACTTTTAATTTTTTTTAAAGAAACAAAATCCTACACAGAAATTCTGAATAGAAGATCTTAGTAGTCATGGGGAATTTAGTTTCTCATGATGAAATAGTTAGACAACATATAAATATAATATAAATACATAAATATAAATATATAAACATAAACTTATGGAATATCTTACAAATCAGTCATTCTCTTCAGTTCATTAGCTCATTTTCCTGTCAAGAAAACTGAGAAGAATCTCCAGTCATCTTCCATAATTCATTAGATACTTCTTCCATATGCATTTATTATACCAAATATTAAACATGTCAGTCTGAGATATGTTTAGTGATATGATCTTATATAAAAGGCACATCAGTGAAATGGTTAAGTACTGCACCTAAATTCACTTTTTTTAAAAAGTGAAAGGCTAGCTTTAAATAGGAGCTCTCCAGTCACAGATATAGAGAACAAACTAGTGGTTTTGGGGTGTAAGATAATCTCAAGGATGTATTGTACAACAGAGGGAGCATAGCCAATATTTTGTAACAGCTGTAAATGGAAAGTAACTTTTAAAAACTGTATAAAAACTTAAAAATTTAAATAAATGAGTAAGTAGGAGCTTCTTCAGCAAGTAAAAAATATTTTCTTCCAATAGACGTTTTTTAAACACTGAGATATCTTTGGGAACTAAAAAGCTTTCCTTTCCTTTAATTTCCCTGAATACTTTCATGACCACCTAACTGGCTAGTGATGCCAGTGCACTAGCTGTATTTCCACAGCATTTTTAAAGCTACCCAGCAGCCAGTTGTTTTTCCAAAATATGCCCCACAATTTTTTTGCTTCCTTCTCTTTGCATACATAGTTTCCTCTGCCTGGAGTGTCTTCTCCACTACTGCATAATCAATCCTTCAAGGATTGATTCCCTCTTCCATAATGTTCTGTCTGGTTTTCCTGGTAGAAAATGACTTTTTCTTTCCCCAAAACCCAACCTACTCAATGGGGATAGAAAAAAGAAAAATGTAGGTTAGGGAAATGAAAGTTACTGCAAAATTAAAATCCTCTCTGGATTAGATATTGGTTTGAAACAAGATACAACAAAAAGTTACATGATTAAAGAAAGTATTTTAAGTATTTTGAAAAGTATTTTGAAAAGATTTTTTATTATGCACTCTCTCAATGTTAGGTCAAACTTTTAATTGTTACAATATTAACATAAACATGCTATACTACTAGCATATACAAAATGCTCTGGCACTCACTGCTAAGCCCATGTTATTATTCTTTCCAAAAAAACATTAACTGAACAAGACACCAATGCAACAGGATCTTCCTTAGAAGTATGAACTAACATTAATAATAACACATACTGGAAGTAAATTATTAAAGCTTTTAGTGTAATTTTTAAAAATAAATAAATACATTTTCTTAGTACACTAAGACCCTTTAAAGTGGTTACCATTCAAATACACCCGTAATGGGGACTACTGTGACACTCTCTGAATCAACATCTCCCTTCAATACAACCTGTGCCCAGAGTCCAGACTAACCTTTTCGAATGCTGCTTTGCATATATAGATTCCTCTGTCCCCCGAAAAAACTACATGTGTTTTTCATTGTCTACAGTACAAAAGCCTAACTCCTTAGCCTGCATTTAGGACCACTCACCAACTAGCCCACACTTGCCTTCCTAAATCACATCCTACTGCTCCCCATCTATATTCTATCCTCCAAATAACATGAACTATAGTTAGAGTGACCACACAGTCTAGTTGACCATATACTCTCACTTGCTGGAGACAAATGCAGTATATATCTGTTTCCCTGGAATATTATCAATAGCACCACTCTCCTTCAAAAGGGTCTGGGTTTGGGCAATAAATTATATCATCATCCTATCTGCAGCAGACCCTTGGCAACTGAGAGGAACTGTAACAAGCTCTTCACAGAATTATTATTAATTATTAATAAGCATATAATGTCCTCCCATATAATATGCAGTAAAACAAAAAATGGAATGCGAGTGAATACAGCAGAATAAAGATGGGCCAAGATATGAATACTAAGCTAAATCAATCATTAGCCTCAGTCCTTGACTTGAAACATTAGGCTCCTCAGCAAAGGAATAAAATCAGTAACCCAGAAAAATTATTACATGACCCTTCAAGGGCCACTTACAAATGATTCAAATTCTGTAAGTTACAAATTCAAGAATGCAAGGGGTCTTCAGTACCTGCAATTCCTAAAATGTGTCATCTTATTCTCTTGCTTCCATACTTTACTCATGCAGTTTCCTCTGCTTGGAACAGTTAGGAAAGCCTATCTAGTTTTCAAGACCCAATTCAAATGCTGTCTTTCCAATGAAGCCTTTCCTGATGGTCCCAGACAAGAGTGATTAATTTCCCTCCTCTGAACCCCCAGTACACTCTCTTAGGGTGTTAACATATTATTTTTTTCACATGGATTACTTGTGTTATCTTACCTCCTGTAGGAGACTCTGAGTACCTTGAAAGTAGAGATTGTAC